AAATTAGGGAGAAATATCTCTCTCTGATAACCTCACAATCTGGAGGCACAAGTCTGCAGTTGCTCATCATTTTCTAAAGGTCTTTTTTATTTGGTAGTTTCCATCTTTCTCCTTTCTCCACGGTCGTTTCTGCTTTGAGTTTTGAGTGTGAGTTAGTTTTAGTAGAGGTTTTACGGCGCTCGCAACTGCATAAGGTCATATGAACGCCAGGAGATTAGAGGTGTTACAAGAGAGTAACAAACATTAAAAAAGAAGGGGAGATAAGGACGATAGATGTTTGATAGGAAAGAAGAAGCAAACCACACCAGAGCACCCGCCAACCACCCACTTTCTGAACTTTGGTAAGTGTTTTACGGCGCTCCCAAAAGCTGCATAGAGTGACCATATATGAGCGCACGGTACACATTTTTAACATTTTCAGTTTGATAAGAAATGTACAAATATTTTGAACTTTGCCCGGGTGGCGGCCGAAGCCTTTTCTCGTCGATTTTAGGACCACCGAGGGATCTTGAACTCGCGCAACTTGCGCAAGGGACCTCCGAGGTTGTTTTTGTTCTTCTTATCTGAGAAGACTAGGTGTAAGATCTGACCTACCCTAAGATCAGGGGTGCAGCTGAAAGAAAACAAGTAGTAAGAAGTAGTCAAAGAGTAACAGTAGAAAGATAGCAAGCAGTAAGAAAGAGCCAAAGAGTAACAGTAGAAAGATAGCAAGCAGTATAAGAAAGAGTCAATGAGTAACAGTAGAAAGACAGTAAGCAGTACGAAGTAGCAAAGGAGTAGCAGTAGAAAGACAGCAAGAAGGAGCCAAAGAGTAACAGTAGAAAGGCAGAAAGCAGTAAGAAAGAGCCAAAGAGTAACAGTAGAAAGATAGCAAGCAGTAAGAAAGAGCCAAAGAGTAACAGTAGAAAGATAGCAAGCAGTATGAAGTAGCCAAAGAGTAACAGTAGAAAGACAGCAAGAAGGAGCCAAAGAGTAACAGTAGAAAGACAGCCGGGAGCGCAATCACAGAGTGGAGGCTGCCGGGAGTGAATTTAACCTTCCTTGGTTTCTACGAAGGAGGAGGTTGGTTTCTACGAAGGAGGAGGAGGAGGAGGAGGAGGAGGAGGAGGAGGAGGAGGAGGAGGAGGAGGAGGAGGAGGAGGAGGAGGAGGAGGAGGAGGAGGAGAAGAAGAAGAAGAAGAAGAAGAAGAAGAAGAAGAAGAAGAAGACGGGACGTTCAAACGAATTCACGACAAAACAATACATGCGTTGGACAAGCAACAGCCCTTCTACAGTCTGAAGCAGGGCTATCAGCAAAAAATTAGTAAAGACATTTAGTTTAGTTTTAGTAGAGGTTTTACGGCGATCGCAACTGCAAAAGGTCATACGAGCGCCAGGAAGTGTTTCAAGTGAGTAACATCACACATAAAAAAGAAGAAGGGGAGAGGAGGACGATAGATGTTTGATAGGAAAGAAGAAGCAAACCACACCAGAGCACCCGCCAACCACCCACAGTAAAGACATTAAAATGTTCATTTCTTGGGGACAAATAAAAGGCAGATTAAATTTAAAAACAATGTTAAAATTACAACAGAAGAGTCCGTTTGCATAATCATCAACCAATAAGTAAGTCATGCTGAAATCGATATAATATATATAAAAATATATATACATATATATATTATATATATATTATATATTTATATATATATATATATATATATAGATAGATAGATATATATATAGATATATATATAAACAGACTCGAGTCGGAATATAGTTTTGTTATGGGAACCCCCCATAAGAGAGTTTTCTCTATAACCAAACAAATATACACACCAATGAAACCAAACTTCTCCTATACGTAGGGCAATGCCCACTTTTGGTGTAGGTCAAGATTTCTGGAAACCCTCGAAATCTGGGTTAGCCCACTTGTCCTTAAAAGCAACCTTATACAGACGAATTGCAGCGATTGTGTGTTCGGGGGAGGGAGGGGGAGGAGGAGGGGGAAAAAAGGAGGGAGAGAAGGAGCAGGAGGAGAGGTGAAGAAGGAAAAGGATCATGGGGGCAGAGGTACAAAGAGAAAAAGGGAAACGAAATTTCTTGGGGGGATAACGTTGGGGCCGCCGGGGGGGGGGGGGGGGGCAGGGGTGGAAGTAGGAGGAGAGACAGACTGTTTTAGTTTTAGTAAGAGTTTTCCAGCACTCGCAACACATTAAGAGAGACAGATAGACAGACAAAGCTTCAGAGAGTAGAGCGAGACACAGAAAT